GCTGTGTTCCCAGGAAATAGATGGGGGCAATACCTGGTTCTCATGGCATTCAGCTACGAACCGTGGTGTGAGTGGATGGTGGGCCTCCTGATTCTGTGCCTGCTGGCCACTTCTGGTGCACACAGGACCCACACACGGGCTGTGCTGGTGGAGATCAGGAATCGCCTGCTTCCACGCTCCTGCCCAGATGTGAACCCTTGTAAAACTGTTTTCAGATAATGTGATCTGATACGTAAAACCACTAAAGAGCCCACAAGGGTAAAATGTTTTAAGTAGTAAATGTATTCCTGGCAAAATATCAGTGTCTTGGTTACTTTTCTCTCATTGCTGAGACAAAATACTCGACATCCAAAATTAAAGAAGGAAAGGTGTATTTACCTCAAAGATTGTGGAGGTTACAGTTTGTAATCAGCTGGCTCCAACTGAGGTGGCATGGCTGAGGGGCAACAGTTCAAGGCAGCAGAAGACAGCAAAAGGAATGTGAGCAAAAGGTGGGGGAGCAAGCCTCTTTTCCTCCCTTATACTGTATACTGGCTGTTCTCCCATTCCATCTCTCTGCCCTCCTCTTCCACTCCATGCGCTCAGCATGTTTACAAAGTAAGGACCATGGCCCCTTGCTGACCTAAACTTCTAAACTTCTCAAGCTGACACAATGTATCAACCATTAAAATGAGAAAACAAAATTAACACACAAAAATCAGTTGCGTTTCTATATACAGTGGTACCTTGATTCATGAGCTTAATTTGTTTTACCATTTTGGGGAAGATGGCCACATTTGTTTTGTGTGGAAGATGGCCGTGGTTGTGTTTTCCACCCAATATATTTGTGAACAGAAGCAAAATTTTGTCAAATGCTTTTGTTTGAGAACTGAATAGTTTAGGAACTGAAGCATGCACGAACAAAGGTATTACTGTAGTAACAATGAACAATCTGAGAGGAAATCATGAAAATTTCCATTTACAATAGCTCAAAAAGAATAAAATACTTAGGAATTAACTTTCTTATGAAAGTGAAAGACATGATGAAATATTAGTGAAGGAAATTAAAGAAGACACATATAAACTGAAATACAGCCCATGTTCACAGACTAGAAGTTTTAATACTGTTAAGACGTGAATACTATACAAAGTGATTAACAGTTTCAATGCAATACTATCAAGATCTCAATGACTTTGTTATAGAAACAGAAAAATTTGTCCTTAAATTATATGATCCCAAGGGGTTCCAGATAGCTAAAACTGCCTTGAAATACCAGAACAGTGCTGGAAAACTCACACTAATTTGTAATTTCAAAAATTACTACAAATGTATTATAAACAAAACAGTATGATAATAGCCAAAAGAAAGATATATGGATCAACGAAATAAAATAAAAAGTCCACAGGTAAAGTTCTCCCATACATGATTTTGACAAGATCACAGGATTTTTGACAAGAGTCCCAAGAAAAGCTTACCAATATAGACTCCCACTAACTGCTTTACATCACTTGTTTTTAGGTATTTTAGTATAAGGTATCATTTCACTAACAGTGCGATCAAACACTTTTTTGTATATTTATTGGTAATTTGTATTTTTTATTTTGTGAATTGCCTGAGTGTTGCTTTCATTAGTTTTTATTTGGGGTACTTTATTTCTTTGTTTTTAAAATTAAGTTTACTGGTACATTTTAGGTATACACACTGATGATATTCATTGTTGGGGATTTGTACCTGTACATGATATAACTTGATTCTTTTTTTCCCCTATTCCCATACCCTCCCTTTTTGAAAATAAGGCGGGGAAGAGAGACTGAAGGTAATTTATTTCTTAATGATTATGAATTTTGTATATTAGATATATCAATCCTTTGTATAGCTTATGATGCAAATGGCAAGCCTGTTGGACTAACATTTATCAAAACTTTTCTCCAGTGATTTGAATGCTACCTTTACTGTATAATTAATTCATATATATGTATATGATTTCTAGGTGACATATCATAGTGGTTAAGACTACAGATTCTAAAATCAGGCTTCCCTGATTCAATTCCAAGCTCTCAATAACTAAATTTTAAAACATCAAAATCTCAATAGTTATTTAAAGTCCAGCATTATTGATCTGATAAAATATGTATTATATAAAATAAAGTACTATATGAACATTTGAAAAAATTATGATATATATACTGGAAACTCTAGTTACTAAGTCATTATAATATGCCAAGGTATTTCATGTCGTTTAACCTGTTTGATTAAAAAAATTCAGTGACTTATGCATCCTTGTTACCAATTCATAGGTGATAAAGAGACAAACGGAGTTGGACAAATTATACAAAAATCAAACAACTAATAACTGAAGACACATGGAATTGAATCAATATGTCTTGGATACTTAAAAAGAAAAAAAGAGGGCACTGCACCTGCAGAAACTGGCATGGGTGATCATGCCGTAAACAGGGAGTCAGCAAACAACGGCCCAACATAGTTTGACTAAATTTAAGACTTTTTGTTTCCTTTAAATCATTGAAAAAAACCATCACAAGAGTTGTATGATGTGACAATGGGAAATTTTTATACTCAAATTTCAGAATGTGGAAATGGAATTTCATTGCAACACAGCCAAACTTATTTGTGTATGTTTTCCTGATGGCTGCTCTTGCTTCATACTGGCAATGCTGAGTAGCTGCAATAGAAGATGTATGCTTTGTAAAGTCTAAAATTGTTACTTAGTGCTATACAGAAAAAGTTTGAAGAACTCTGGTCAAAACTATGATATTATTCCTCTATTTAAAACATTTGATCAGCTTCCCATAGCCTTTAAGTTAAATTCTAACTCCTTTATGTGGCACATAAAGCTCCTCTCATCGCAGTTCTGCTTTCCAGCCATATCAACTTTCTTATCATGTAGTTTGTCTTGTATCTCTTTACCACTGATAGATGCTAAAGCAAAAAGTACCATTTTCAAATTAACTGATGTTTTTGTGATCCCTTTGGTGTTACTTTTAGTCTTTGAGAAAGAGATATCTTTAATGTAGAAAAAAACTTGTAATTAAACATAATCTTATTTATTTTATATCATTTTATGTCTAAGAAAAAGATTTCTCAGTGTATAGGCTATAAACTTCTGGCTAGATGGAATTAAATAGTACGAATCAATTAGAAAGCACAATAAATTCTTATAGATGGAGCCTCAAATGTATGTAGTAGGTTCACAAACTCTGAATTTCCTTAAAGCAGACTTTCAGCTATGAGCAAAGTTTAATGTGATGAATGAAGACAGTATTCTGAATAAAATGACTCCACTTTTGTAAACAAAAAGGAAATTAAAACCATTCTTTCCTTTTCTTATTTTAGGTTTTTATTTTTATATGTAAAAATCTTTCTGTGTTACTTAGCCTACCATAGAAAGTCAATTCAGAATAAGATTTGAACTAATGTGGAGACTTTACAATGGCAGTGCACTAAACTGAGACTAAGTACTAAAACAGATGTGATTTGAAATAAAGTTTGGAAGATGGCTTTGATGACTATGTTTGTTAATACGTAAAGCAGAATTACAGAGCAATATGTAATACGATATAAAACTCAACTTCTTATCTTGTCTAGAAAAAAGACTAGGACTGTACAGAAAAAATAAAAAATAGCAAGAAAATTTATGTTTTTAGAGTAAGCAAGAAGCAGAGGCGAGAAAGTACAGATAGCAGGGAAATTTAATGGGATCAGAAAATCTAAAAAGTGTTCTTATTAAATTTTTGACATTGTGATATCTGCATATATAGATTTTTGATGAAAATGAAACTCTGAAATATACTATGTGTGCTTGATTAGACACAGCAAAATATACATGACAAACAATAAAATGTTCATACTTTTGAAAGTAATTAGAAATAGTTTTTCATGATCAATGAAAGTAGAACTCAATTGAATGATATAAACTTAGAATTTAAATCTCAAACACAATAAAAAAAAAAATGACCCAATGTGATGGAAATGTGCTAGTATCCAAAACATGAAAGCTTACTTTAAATTACAAAATGTCTTCTTGCTGTGAAAAGATTCAGGTAAAAGGGCCTTACAGCAGTTCTTGCTTTCAAGAAGATTCTGTTCTACTGTTTCTTTGACGACAAACCACAAGGGAACACAATATGCTGGAAAACCAGGAATGGATCTTGCCTTTGCTCATCTGACCTTCCTGTGCTATAAGATCTGAAAACAAGAACCTGATGGATGCAGGCACCTCGATCTAGAAGAAACTTGTCAACTTTACTATTCCATAGCTAATAAATGGAAGAACTAGAGTATTTGTGAATTTTATAACCTCTTAAATTCCCATTGATCTATGGTTATTTTAAAAATACATATGATCACTCTAGGAGGTGGGAGCTAGAGAACCACAAGTTCAGGCCCAGCCTGGGAAAATTAGTGACTTAATGAGACCCTGTTTCAAAATTAAAAATAAAATGTACATGTAGGGAGGAGCTGGAATGCAACTTAGTGCAAAGGCCCTATGCTTAATCTCCAGTATCATAAAAATAATAAATATTAAAAATACATGTAAGAACATTCATAATTTGTTACTTCTCACTCAAAACTAAGCAACAAACAGCATATGCAGGGCTTATGGGACATGTTTGTTCTATTGTTTGGCTTCTGCAATTTACTTTTTCAGAGAATGGATTAGAAAGACACTTAAGCTTATTAGATAGAAAGGTGTCATTCCCTCACATCAAGGTGTCATTCTCCTCACATGAGGAGAAAAGTTCACAAATTATAAATTCTTAGAAAACACAAAAGATCCTTTGGGCCCAGCAAGGAAAATGTCAACAAGTCAAAAGATACTAGATGACCACTGACCAGTTTCAGGAAAAAGCTGCAAAGCTGCAAGCCAAGGGGGAATAATGCTTTCCTGCCATGCGTCTAAGTCTACAAATGACACTAATCCCTTTTAATTGTCATAAAAGCTAACAACTTCCTCAGCCTTAGAACTGAAGGCACAAAGTCATCTCTGGGAATGACTCACCATAAACAGGTCTCGAGCACCAATGTCAACAGCTAGGAGAAATGCCTTTTCAAATCTCTGGTACCTATAAGGAAGAAAAGACATGTGTGTTATATGAAAGAAGAGAGCTATTTGTTTAATGTATTTATTTGCTATTGTTCTCATTCTTTTGATGGAAGAAATATTTTTAAACAGAAGGGACTTGGTCTGCTAGAATCATCCGTACGTGAAATGTTACTCAATTTAGGAAGAGCAACAGCATAAAGCCTATGGAGGTCATAAGTATAATTTCCAAGGATAAGCATAACCTCAAGCAGATACTGTTTACAAAATATGTTTTTCATAATTTTCACTTTACTGTGTTTCATAAGAGAAAATTATGGGGATATACAGAATATAGGATAAGAGCATGTAGTAATTACATCACTATACTTTTGTGTTTATAAGGTATAAGATGAAAACTCAAATATTACATTATTAAAAGAACCTCCCATTTGTGAATTTAAAAAATTCTAGGCAATAAATGATTTTAACATTTAAAAAAATCACCTTTCTAGTGTTTCTCATAATATTTCCCCCTGAAATATAATTTTGCAAATTTCTTTGTTAAAGCTTAATTTTAGGCTGAGATGTATTAGAACAACATGCAGTTTAAAGGAATTACCTCTACACAAAGCTTAAGATCTTGAGAGAAAAGCATGTCATAAACATATACTTAGCACAGGTTTTTGGAATGAAAGCTTGTCTTTATTTTGTTTGGGTGCTAAAATTTATATAGATATAAATGTCAGCTTTTTCTGATTCAGCAACAAGCGGTTATTCTCTGTTCCTTAATTTATATTATAAAACTTGATGGTAGAAAAACTAATGAATCTGAAGTAAAAAATAGCAAGTTTTGAATATTATTAACAGATTACTATATTCTATTAGTGAAATAAACAAAATAATTAAAAATCAAATAAACAAGGCTTACTAATATTGTATATGAGCTGTGAGATACAGAACTTGAAACACTTGGGGAATTTCCAACAGTTTGGTAATTGCTACCCCTATTTCCTCCTTGCCCTTGTTATTAATTAATTAATTAATTAATTATGGGGATTGGTGCAGAGACCTAAGCTTGCTAGGCAAAAGCCCTATCACTAAGTTACATCCCCACCCACCTACCCATTTTTACTAGCACTATATTTGCCTGAATCCTCTTAGCTATAGAAGTTCAGGAGGTAATAATGCTTATTTTTGTGGAGAAAGTGTCTTGTGACTGGAAGCTTAGTGCATTACTATATATTCAATGAAGATGGAATGTATTGAGGAAGAAGTCAGGGAATCAGTAAGTTATACTAGTAGATCATCCATTTACTGCTGTTTTTTTTTTTCTTTTGGTCTTTTTGAGACAAGGTTTCAGTGTGCAGTTCAGGCCAGCCTTGAACTCACTTTGTAGCCCAGGCTAGCCTTGAACTCACAGCAGTCCTCCTGCCTCAGCCTCCGGAGTGCTGGGATTACAGGTGTGCGCCACCATGCCTGGACCCTGTTTTTTTTATTTATTTATTTTTTTGCTTAACTTTTTTTTGGTACCAGGAATCGAACTCAGGACCTTGCACTTGCCAGGTAGGCACTGTGCCACTGAGCTATATCCCTGGCCCCACTTACTGCCGTTTTACATTGGCCTACTTTCCTCTTTTCTGGCAACAGTAAGCATCCATCTTTAATTATTAAAATTAAAGATCTCATCTTATGTACCCTTTGGTCACACCTAGTCCTATAAACCATCTTTTGGTCATATGTAATTACTCCTTGAAGCCCTCTTCTTCCTGTTTTCCTTTATTCTTTTTTTCCCTATTTCCTAGGAGATATGTATCTATATCTACAACTATATCTATATCTACATTTTTTAGACAGGATTTTGCTATGTACTTCAGATTGGCCTTGAACTCACTATGTAGCCCAAGTTGGCCCTGAATTAATAGTAACCTTCCTGCTTCCGTCTCCTGAGTGCTGAGATTATAGGCATGTGCCACCATGCTTGGCTAGACTGTATCTTCTTAATCTCCTTTTCTAGTTCACTTTTCTTTACATCCCCTTGAACTTGGTGTTCTATAGTCCTTTATATATGTCTATTATCTCCAATCTTTTCAATAACCTTAAACTATCATAGCATTGGTAATCAATTATATAAGCCAACCACAAATCTATACTTCTGGATCTAATTCTCCCTTGAGCACAAAACTATTTCCAGGCACCTCAAACTTAACCTCATATGCTCACTGAACATCACTTTGGCAACTATACACAGGACAAATTAAAATTGGAAAGGATGAAATTTAGGGAGATAATAAAGGATGTGCTCATCATCCAAGGGGAAAAATAGTGTTATGATAAAATGAAGAAACCGGAAGTGACATTTGGCAGGATGGTGAACCTCAAATACCAAAAAGAACTCCCATAGATTATTTAGAAAATATGCTTTAAAATATATCATAAGAATTTTTAAAAGTAAGGAAATACTCAAGAGCACCTCAGTCAAAAATACAAAAATAAAAACCTTCAAATAAATTTGCTTGATAGAAACCAGAGTAAGGATTCCTATTAGACAGCAAATAATAGTCTTCATTTGTACATATATATATATATTTTTTTTTTCTCATGTAAAAGAAAGTTTTGTGCTTCATTTTATTAGTATACATTTGCAGTTTATGTTTACTTTCATTTTAGAAAGTAGGGACATGTACTTCACACATCTTTTTCAATCCTCTTCCCATTCCCTCTCTCATTCCTCTATCTTTCATTTTATCAAAAAAAATCAAAATTTCATAATAAAAAAATGAATAATGATAGTTATTACACTGTGTATAGTTATCTTTAAAGTAGATACTGAGTATAAGACATAAACCAAAATGATTCTTATAAATAAGGAACAGATAATAACACAAATCTTTCTTTTTAACAAACTAAGATAAATGAAAGTTTTGTACTATTATCTATTTGTTTCTTCTTTGTAAGAGAATCTTTTGTAACTACTTGAGTAACTACTTTGAAGATAATGATACCTAGTGTATTAACTATTGTTACACTTTCATTTTTGTCTTTAAGTTTTATTTTTTGATAAAAAAGTATTAAAAGAAAAAGAAAAAAAAAAAGACAAGACATGACGGTGCATCACCCTTAAAAGAGTATGGCTTGAACAAATCTCAAGGAATAGTTTTTTTTTGAATAACAAGAAAAAATTTGGTAAATATATAAAAAAAACTCAACATATTTAGGTTGGAAAATAGTGATTAGTATGTATACTCGAGGGAGTTAAAGTACTAAGGTCCTTGTTTTTTGTAATGTTGAAAAAAAAATTTTTTTTTTTTTGGTTTTTCTCCGGTACCGGGAACCAAACTCACGACCTTGCGCTTGCCAGGCAGGCGCTTTGCTGCTGAGCTTAATCCCCAGCCCCATAATGTTGAAAATTTTAATGTTCCAAGTTGGAACCCACACAAAGTGAAATTTCAATGGTGGTAATGAAAACAGTACATAAACTGGTAAAACGGCACAGGTAGAATGGGTCTGATTTTTTTTTTTTTTGAGACTAAGTCTCACCATGCAGTTTAGGCTGGTCTTGAATTCATCATGTGGCCAGGCTGGCCTCAAACTCATCACACTCGTGTCTCAGCCTCTTGAGAGCTGGGATTACAGGCATTAACCACACCTGGTTATTGAATGTGGTTGAGTGAGGGAAGAGAATGAGGAAAAAATTTCAGTAATATGTAAAAAAAAAAATCAAGAAAAGAAAGGAATCACAGGAAAATAGAATAATTCAAATAGGAGGAACAGCTCAATATAAAAAATCATGTAAGTAGACTAAACACTCCAATTGAAAGGCAGATTATTAGAGTGGTAAGTAGAATATAGGTATTTATTATTTAGGATATAGAGATGTAGATAAGCAATACATCCACTTAGGAATTAAAAAGTTGTTAGTCAAAGAAGGAATCCTAATAGAAATTTTTAAATACTTAAAACTAAATGCCAATATTTTAGAGAAAATTTGAACAAATAAGGAATCAGAAGGGAATTATAAGCCTTAACAGTTACATTACATAAAAAAGGTTGAAAATTGAGACATATAAGAATAAAAGAAAAATTGAGCTAGAGCTTGTCATGTGGCTGCTAGGCATGATAATACTTGGAGCCAGAGGGACAGTCTTTTCTCATAGGGCTCCTCTGATATCTCAAGTATTGGCCTCTCCCACTCCCAATGGTGGCAGGAAGTACTAGTATCCTAAGACCCTCATCCCCCAAATTAGACGATGACTCAACAGATATAAAAAATTTATTCACTGAAATCATAGAAGAAAAGTCTCCAAATGTAGAGAGAGAACTCAATATTTAAAGTACTAGTGGTATATAGAATATCAGATAGCTGTAACCATGAAAACATCTCTTCACAACAGATAATCAAAATACCAGAATTTCAATGAAATGAGAGAATACTAAAAGTGGTTAATAGAAAAACAGCAAATAATCTATAAAGGCAAGTCTATCAATATAACAGCAGATTTCTCAACACAAAGCTTAAATTTCAGGAGAGCTTGGAGTCAAGCTTTTTAAACTATGCAGGTAAATAAACTGACAATCCAGACTTTTTGTTTGTTTTCTTGTTTTTTAGAGACAGGTCTTGCTATGTACCTCAGGGTGGCCCCAAACTCACTGTGTAGGCCAGGCTGGCCTCAAACTCAATCCTCCTGCATCAGCCTCCCAGGTGGTAGGATAAAAGTCATGTGCTGTCATTGCCAGTGAATACTGACTTCTATATCTTACAAAGTTATCCTTCAAATTGATGGAGAAATACTTTCCATGATAAAGAAACCCTAAAGAAATGTGTGACCACTAAACCAGCATCTCAGAAAACACTTAACAGAATACTACACAGAAAAGGAGAGTCCAATAGCACCAAATAGCCCAAAGGAAACTATACATCTAGCTGGGAGAATAGTTCAAAGTGAAAAAAGAATAAATGACTCAGCACTTAAAAAATAATGCAACTACATGATTCAGTAAATACCTTACAATAATAATTCACTGTCAAAGGTCTTAAGTTCC